TATGGGCAATGAGGGCAGAAGGGAAGGGGGGCTCAAGAGTTGTATTAATCTCATTAACTGAGGTAACATTCTTGCAATCCTTGTAACATGAAAAATTTACTACCACACTTGGTCGAGTCATCAATTTTAAACTGATCCTTAAACAAGACCCAGAAAGAATTACTGACTAATTGAGAAAAGTCAGATAATCCAGATCCTTTTTCTCTGCACACTTCACATCACTAGAGCACACAAGATCCCATCAGATAAGGCCCCATTATATTAATGACTGGACAGGTCACAGGGAGGAAATGAAAATGTTGCCTTATAGTTTGCTTGATCTGTAGATAATTCTATTCCTCATCTCAATAAGAGATCTCAAAATCTCATTCTCAGAATTACACAAACTAGAAAAGAATTCTGCAACTTGGTTTTCAAGCAAACATGTCACTGATATAACAAAACATTCTATATTAATAAAATTAGATACTCAGATTAAATAATAAAGCCTAATTTTAAATAAACATTGAGTGGCTAAGAAATTAAATGTAAGGCTTAAGTGAATATAAGGATATAAGCATTAAGAACAGTTGAGTATTTTATGTTCTTTCCAAGAAGTGAAAAGTGGGTCAATGCCTTATCTTGATAATGAACAGGCAGCTGCTCATTTCTCAGTCAGGTCTGCCTGGCCAGAAACATGGTTGGCTTTGGACACCTGGAAAGAGAGGGGAAGTGGGATGATGGTAAAATCTTTAAAATAAGGCTCTTCACATAAGACAGGAGTTCTGGTAGCGTAGTACCTAAGGCACTTGACCTCCAACCAGAAGGATGGCGGTTCAAACCCACCAGTCACTCCTCGGAAGGAAGGCTGAGCAATCTACTTCCACAGAATACTGCCTCGGAAACCCAAGGAGGGGTCGCTATGAGTCAGGTCCAACTTGATGGCACATAACAACCACACATAAGACAGTAAACAAGAAGAATATTAATCCCAAAATGCGACTTTCCCCTTCCAGACTTTCTTCCCATGCTGTTTTTGTTCCTCTTACAAATATAGGCTGTTCCTGGGTTACAAATGTCTGACTTACGTATAACCCATAGTTATGAACCAAATGTAAAACCAATTATATTAAAAATTCGAGGTATATACAATGGCTCATAATAACAAACAGGTGTTATTTTGCAATACACATAAAACTTAATTGTTATTACTGTATTATTATGTTAAAGATGTCTTAGTGTAGCTAGTATTTCATGTTTTTTATGCATAAAAAGGTTCATTACATACTATATACTAAGACAAAATCTGACTAACTAACATCAGATATCAACCATACCTAACTCTTCCGACTTACATATCAATTCGACTTAAAGACAGGCTTAAGAAAAGAATTCATTTGTAATCTGGAGGCTGCCTATATTCAAAACAGCTTTGAAAACCAGTACTATTTAAATATGTTGTTGTTAGGTGCTGTCAAGTTGGCTCCAACCCATGGTGACCCTATGTACACCAGAATGAAACGCCAACCAGTCCTGCACCAGCCTCACAATCCTTGCTATACTTGAGTCCATCATAGCAGCTACTGTGTCAATCCATCTCGAGGGTACAAAAGGTAAAAGCAAACTAAGTGGAAATGCAATGGAATTTCTCAGCTCCACTGTACTCCCCCCAACCCCCTAAAATATCTTATGTGGAATGCAAAAGAGAAATAGCCAAGCAATTCCAGCCAAACCTCTGTAAAACCATGATTTCTTAGATATGATTTGAAAGTAACTTGAGCCATAAAGCATTAAAAATAAATAAACATAAACTTTTTATTAGTATAAAATAAATGTGTATGTTTTTGAATTACATTGCTATCACTTTCCCTTCAACAAGAGCCAAAAAAAAAAATACAGATGCAGATTAGTTTTTTGTTTTTGTTTCAAGGGGAGGATAGTAAGAGGAGACAAAAGCCTTCCTTCTATACTGCCAAACCAATCATATAATACAGCTTCTAGTGTTTGCGATAAAAGCTTTACACTTTCCATGAGAAACTTTGCGAATCAAGAGATACTTACCTTTCTCTAAAAATACAAAGATGGTAATAAATCTCTACCTTAAGAGTGACTTTTTTCCATTCGGAAAGATCTATAAAGTAAAAACTGGTAGAAGAATGACAGAATAAATGTGTATGTAAATATAGATAGATAGATAGATAGATAGATAGATATTTGTATATTTCCCCTGAAGAACCAATTTGTATAATTCTGATCCAAACAAACCAATTGTGAAAAAACAAAATTGCTTTTTAAAAAAAACCAAGGAGTGGCCAGCCAAGGCACAGTTGGACTCTATTCACTTGGAGCAATAAAGAAGGCAAGTCAGGACAGGCAGAGGATGTGGAATGTGTGACTAATTGCCTCCACAAACAACTGATTCCTTTGCTATGAGACCAGAAGAACTGGATAGTGCCCAGCTACCATTACTGAACATTTTTATCAAAGATTCCATAGAAGAATCTTGATTTAAAAAAAAAGTGGGGGAGTATAGAATAAAGTTTAAAATTCTCATAGACTCTAGACTCTCTGGAGATATGGGGGTAGATGAACCCTTGAAACAATTATTCCGAGATAATCTTTAAACTTTAAAATTTCCCTGAAGTCTTAAAATCGAATAATAGTTTAGATTACCTAGTTTAAAAAAAAAAAAAAAAAGTCTGGGTGCTCTGGTGGCATAATGCCTAAAGCATTTGACTGCTAACCAGAGGCTGGTGGTTCAAGCCCACCAGCCACTCCTCGGAAGGAAGGTTGGGCAATCTACTTTCATAGTGATACCGTCTGGGAAACCCAAGGAGAGGTCGCTATCAGTCAGATCTGACTCAACGGCAGTGGATTTTTTATTATTATACTCTTTTAAGATCTATATGGGATCAAACTGACAACAGCACCTCAAAAGATTAGATAAGAACTTAGGGAGCAGTGAGTTTATGTTAATGAGAAGAGGAACAACTCAGAAACGGAGGATGAGAATGGTTGCACAACCCATAGAATGTAATCAGTGTCACTAAATTGTACTTGTAGAAACAGCTCAATTGGTCTATGTTTTACTGTGTGTATTCTCAACAACAAAATAATTTTTTTAAAAAAGGGAAATTTGAACACTTCCAGGATAACTGATGATATTCAAGAACTCATTGTTAAGATTTTTAGGTTTAACTACTGATTTGTGTTTGTTTTATGTTGTTTCTGTGGTTAATTTATTCTTTAAGAAGTGTTTATCTTTCAGAGAGATACCTGAAGAAAACATTCCAAACTTTGCTTTAAGATATCCAGCAGGAGGTTGAAACAAAATTGGTCATGTACCAACAACAGTTGAAACTGGTAACAGGTATATGAGGCTTTACAACACTCACTTATTTTTTGTGTTAAGTTTGAAAATTTCTCCCAGTGGCCAGAAAGGGGAACCTATGCATCAAAAAATTCTATCAAAATTACTGAAACTTGTGTTTCACTAAATTAGTCAGAATACTGCCTATTTTTTTCTTAACAGATTTGATTGACAGTAAGTTTTAGTCTCCAAACCAAATACCACATTGCTGCAAATAACTCGGACATACATATAAGCACAAAATGAGTAAAAGGGCTGCAGTTTGCAAAAAGCATCACACACGGGTTATTTGCATGGATATCCAGTAACTTCCTTCAATAGACTCATAATGTGAAATGCAAGACGCACTATATTTTAATTCCACACAGCAGCTAAATGAATGTCAGGTAAGGAAACAATCTAGGATTCCAATTTATAATTAGTAATCTCATTTGCAGGAGCCCTGGTGGCGCAATGGTTAAAGCACTGCTAACCGGCTGCTACCCGAAAGTCAACGGTTGAAAACCAGCAGCTGCTCTGGTCTGCTGGAGAAGATGTGGCACCCAGCTCCTGTAAAGATTTACACCCTTGAAACGTCTACGGGGTCGCTGAGTCAGAAACTACTCGACGGCAGAGGATTTGATTTGAAATCTTATTTTAACTTCAATATCAAATATCCATTTTGTTAAGACAAACTATCATGGGATACGTTTGGTTTCTTTTTTTAACCTTATTTTCTCCCTAATATTTGGAGTAAGTTTGGTAATTGGTATATACAAAGAGGAAAAGTTCCAGATGTTGTTCACTCCCTAGAAGTAAACTCTTTCAATGGAAAGAGAAAAAATGGAAAAGAATGTAATACACAGAAATGTTCCAAAAATCTCCCAGACAGCGATTATCTATATTCCCCTCCCCACCAGCCTTTTAAGTGGTTAGAAAAGAGCGACCCTGGTTGGTTTGCTTCATCTCCTCCTCCCTTCTTAGGGGAGGTGCTAAAGAGCAAAGAAATGACCAAAAGACAGGCCGGAAGAAGGAAAGAGAAAAGCATGGAGTCTGGACAATCATTCCCTTAAGTAACTGAGAGCTGTATCCAAATTAGATGAAGTTAAGGAATGAGCCCATAAACACCTCTCTGTAATTTCAACGTACCTAAGTGTGTTAGAGTGCGGAGAACCTGGCGCACGTACCTCAGATTCCGACTTCCTCCTCTCCCCAAATATTCACAGGTACAAAGGCATAGAAAGAATTCGTTCGGACCCGCGACGTGGAGAGAAAATCACCTCAACTTCGGCAACAGTAAAGCCGCAAAAACAACGCCCACCCTCCCGGGTCAGGGTAGCGAGGCCGAGCCCCTCCCAGCGGACCAGGAATCTCCTAACGACTGTCCCGCTCCTCAGGCGGGGCAGTGCCCGCCGGGGACCACTCTCTACCCAGGCTGGAAGAAGGGCAGCAGTAGAACTGTAAGACTCGACGGGGAGGACCCGTCCGCCACCGAGGCCCTCCGCTCCCGTCCAACACTAGGGTGGTGGACCTGCGCCGCCCACTCTGGACCCAGGCCCGCGCCCCGTGCGGCTTGTCGCGAGCCCGGATCCCGATCCACTCGGCGCCCGACAGGACCCGCGCTCCCCTCTGAGCTGCGGCGGCTGCTGCCGTGAACACCCCCAGTGACTACCTGTCTTCGCTCTTGTTTTTCTGTTTCTTCCCCATCGCGTGTCAGCGGTACTCGTGGCCCCAGCCCCTTTATTCGGTCTGTCACAGACCCACTGTCCCCTAGACGACTTTGGTCTCCGCTCGGCTTCGTCCCGCCTGCACTGCCGCCTCTCGCACCCGGCTCTCCACAGACCCGCGCACCGGGACAGGGCACATATGGTGTGAGGTTTCAGTGCGCAAGCGCATCGCCCCGCCGCCTCGGCGTGGGGACGCAGTGCGCAGCTCATCGAGAGCTGCGCTTCGGGTAGAGCGTCTCCGGTTGACCACGCTGGCTAGGCGGGAGCCCGAGCGCCCCCTGTCCGCAGCGTCGTCAGCGCACAGACACCCGCGCCCCCGCGGTGTTCTAGAACTAGGATGTGAACAATTGGGCTGTCGATCCCCAGGTCAGCCTCGTTTCCACTGGGGAACGTAGACTTGGGAGGTGGGCATTCGGTTCACAAAAGGACTTTCCTTCCATCTTTTAACCTCTATACCTTTGTATTTTCAGTCGCACGAAGTTCAGTAAATAACTACAATGAACTAATAATGATGAGCTCTCTGAGTATTACTAAGGGAGATAAATGTAGAAGGAAATTGTGTCCTTTCAATATCATTCGTGGATTATCAAGGATGTACAGTCGCTAAAGAAAACAAGGACCCAGAACCACCACCAAGGGCCATCCAGTCTATCCTAACTTATGGTCACCCCATGTGTTTCAGAGAGCAACTACTCCATAGGGTCTTCAAGGCTGCTACCTTTCAGAAGACAATTGTCAGACTTTCTTCTGAGGAGCCTATGGGTGGGTTTGAACACCCAACCTTTCAATTAGTAAGCAAGAGCTTAATCATTTACGTCACCCAGGGACTCCTATAACACGGACATACCCATCAATTTTCCCAAAATTGGCTTTAATCTTTATATTTAAAGTAAGAGCAAGCTCCCCAAAATGAGTGTTAAGTCACGAGGAAACCTACTAGGGCAATGAAACTGTTCCATATTTTGATTTGGGGGTGGGGTGGTGTTATCTATGTAAAACCTCATCGTTCTGTATTAATTATACCTCAATTAAAAAAAAAAAGTTCAATAAACAGAGAATGGAAACGAAGATTGAGTGTCATTCCTGAGGAAGATCGCAGCTTTCTCACTTCTGATGAAACACTATAATAGCTACAGAGGGTATGGGACTAAGAAAGTCGGAGAGCGCCAGGCTCAGCACTTTAAAAAAAAAAAAGAAAACTACAACTCCCAGCATACTTGGCTCCCTCTTCCGCTGGGCTGTTCACGCGAAAGGATTGAAAAGAACAGGTTCCGAGGGGCTTGTGAAGGGGAGGGAGGACGCACGCGCTGAAGCGTTGGCCGCACGGCCCGCCCCTCACTCGGGTGTCTCAGATTGTATCGCGTGAAGACCGAAGCCAATGAGGAGGCGGAGGCGATGGTCTGTTCGTAGCCATCCGGAGCTGGTGTGAGAGTGAAGGTCTAGTGCTCCGTTTTTCTGAATCTACTGTTCCCTCATTTCTCTGGTATCTCTGAGAGCTCAGGTGAGACAGAGGGGTGGTTTGGAAAAACTTGTCACCTCATCTTGGTGCTGATGGACACACCGCCGTCCAACACCCTGCTGGGGCGGGGGAGGGGCGCTGCCCGGACGCCTGTGTCAGTGCAGCGGCGGAGGCTTTGGCGCGTTCGCCCCTGGAGGCGTTAAAGTCTGGGTCTCTGGAGCTCGGCCTTGGGAATAATGAGATTTTGGACAAGGTGTCTGAGGTTCAGTGAGGCCCCTTGATTGTTCTGGCGGGTGCCCTTAGGGAAATCAAGGAAACAGGTAATTTGAGGACACGCTGTGTCTCTTCCCACCCTTCCATTTGAGCTAGAAAAAAAGGCTTATGGTTTGAAAAATGTAAAGTTATCAGGACCGCTGAACATCTCTATAACCATATTTCCTTTTTGAATGCGTGAACACGTTCGCCTGCTCTCAGAACTGCTATTCTTGATCGCTTTTGTTCCCATTTATTCCAAAATTAAGTTGTGGGCTAATTCTGTAAAACAAGCATCCATTATACCCTTAGTAAGAACACGTTCAGACATGCAAATAAATGTCTTAATATCCAATTTTCTGTCTCATGGCCCCAGCTCTGAGGATCATAATTGACCAACGTTTTTCTTGGGAGGCAGGGGCCAGGAGTAAGTGAGGAATTTTTAGCATTTTTGAGGCGCTTACATTTTGGGTTTTAAAACTCAGAAATAGGTATCCTTTGAAATTTGTGGCAGTATGAGCAGAAATTAGGCATACATTCATTCAGCACTGAGCAAATATTTAACACCTGCTGTGTTCCAGGCACTGTGCTAGATCTAGGATACAAAGATGAAATCAGTTATACTTTTCAACTGCTTTTCTTGTAAAGAAAAAAGAATTACAAGTGAAATTTGCAAAAAGACTATTTCTCTTCAGCTCGACAAACGTTTATGGAGAGGGTCTATGTGGACCAGACACTATGACGTATAAGTTCACAGTTTTTCTGATTTTTTTTAAGGTGTTTCAGTACTGTATGCAAGTACAGTTTATTAAGATGCACAGATTTCTACTTTGATAGGCAAATGATAAATCATCTTCTGTGGTATTTAACCCAAAGATTCGTATAGATAATACAGAAAGTCGGTTGTTGCGGATAGAAAATAGTATTGCTTCTTTTAAAATATATATTGAGATAGAGCTCACTTTCTAATCTGAATTAGTTCCATTTTATATACTTTGCTTGACAAAAATATTTAAAGTATTTTACACAGAGGAGTGATGACTGAAAACTGGATTTTTTTTTTAAGTCTTTGGAGTGTTATATTGTTTTACAACAAAATGGGGAATACTGACTGTCATTAAATCAATTTCTATATCAGTTTTTGTGGTCTTATATTTGAGTTCCTGAGTGGCACAAATGGTTAAGCATTTGTTTAGTAGACTGAAAAGTTGGTGGTTCAGACCTACCCAGAGGCCCTCCAAAAGCAGACCTAGCATTCTGCTTCTGAAAAGTTGTTGTTAGGCGCTGTTAAGTCGATTCTAACTAATAGCAGCCCTAAGTACGATAGACTGGAACACTGGTCCTGTGCTATCCTGAAAAGTAGCAGCCTTGAAAACCCTATAGAGCAGTTCTACTCTGCATACATGGGGTTGTCATGAGTTGGAATCAACCCAAAGGCAACCAACAACAACAAATACTTTGCTAGTAGTGGGAGAACAAAATAGAAATTAACACTAAAGGAATACCAGGCACTGTTCTTTGTCTACATTCCAAGGAGCTCTCTTAGGAACTGAAGAAACTAATCTTATTTGAGCAGAGACCATGAAAAAAGTCTAACTTTTGTGCAACTCTGCTCAATGTTGAAACAAAGGTTGTTATGTATGTTTATGTGTAAAACCTCAGCACAGTTACACCTTGCTAATGTTTTCACAATCATTTCTGCTTTACTTCTCTTTTCCTGTGGTAAGGACACTTATTGTCAGTACACATCTCTAGGCATCCCAGTTACTCTTTTCTCTTTGATCTGGTAATGGTCTTGAATATTTGTCTTTGCTTTAGTATAATAAGACAAACTGAATCAGAAGCATCTAAATTTTGTTCTGTGTAGTTTTTGAGTGATATGACTGTAACCTATTGAAAATTGAATTTTAAAACATTTCAATAAAAATTTTTTGTCTAACATCAAGTGGTTGAGTATCAGCAGAATACTATGTAGCATGTAAATTATATACCTGCTAGAATTTTGGGTAATGGGAGAGAAAATTTACTGTGTTTGTAATTTTTCTGATTTTATAAATCTTCCCCCCAGCACCAGGGCTGAAGGGTACCATTTAGAAGAATGGAAGCTGATGCATCTGTTGAGATGTTTTCAAAAGTCCTAGAGAATCAGTTGCTCCAGACTACAAAATTAGTGGAAGAACATCTCGATGCTGAAATTCAGAAACTGGATCAGATGGATGAGGATGAATTGGAACGTCTCAAAGAAAAGAGACTTGAAGCACTAAGGAAAGCTCAACAGCAGAAACAAGTAACCTCTCTGCCCTGCTTTCTGAAATTGCTATAACAGTATGCTCCTAATAACTTATATATACATGTGCTATAGTAACATTTTGGTTCTTGATTTTTAGTGGGTTTTGAACTGAAAGTACTTATTAAAAGTTTGCTCCGGGTGGTGGAGGGAAGGCATTATAAATTAGCCTAATTAGTATATAAAATCAGAATCAAGTAAAAGAGACAGGTTATGCTCATCATCATTTCAAAAGCTTACATTTTTTTAAATGAGAGTGAAATAGTGGGAGCATTAGGAGTAAGTAGTATCCATTTGAAGTAGTACTAAAGCCTATCATAATTTAGCTAGCTTCAAAGCAGAAATGACAAGTAAGAGCTATAAGGCAATTTATGTTGAAGAAATTATTCAGGCATTTCCAGTGTAATAAATACTTTAATTATATGCCTTATTTATATGAAAGGGTACATGCTGGCAACACAGTAAGGTGGGCTCAGCTCTATCCTTGTTGGTCTCTTACAGTGTGTGGAATAATCTCATAGTTGTAGACTCTGATCAAAACCAAATGGGTTAAATTCTGTAAATTTTTATTTAAAAAAATGTGTCCATTGGTTTAAGTTATACTGAAATTTCTTAGTACCATCTTTGATCCAACATCACTTGCTTGCAACTGAAACATGAGCTTTAACTTTTCGGAAGAAACACAAGCAAGAAATTTTGTTTATGCTCTGTAGCATCTCTTTGATATTTTATACCCTCACTGTTTAGAAGAATGGCTGCAAAAATGAATTGTTATGACTGGGTTCAAATTTTTGTATCTTGAGGTTTTTAAAATAGGGTATATCATGAGATTTGAAACCATGCTCCATTCTCTTAACAGAATGCTAATAATTGGTAAGCAGAAGACATATTATTGGGATTTAAGGTAATACATGATTAGATGCTTCCATAAACTCATATTTTGTGATCACAGTTAAGTACATTGCTAATTGCTAATGTTCAAGTGAAAAAAGTCATAAATGATATGTTTATAGAATGAATCAGTCTGATGTGCAGTGAAGAATGTACATTAAATAATGTGTCAAATGAAGTCAGCAATTCAAAACAATAGTCTGAATATTTGTCATTGAAAACCAACTGAGATGACATATTTCAGATTTTTTTATTATTAATATGTAAGTTACGCTGAATTTGGAATAGCTCAGAGGGTCTTATTTTAGGACTTTTATTGCATTTTAATACATCATTTTTATTAAAATGTTTTCTGAGGAAATAGACAAGAAGCCTTAGTGGCTTGTGAATACATTCTTTTTGAAAGAGTGATGTAGATTATATAGTAATTTATGTTTTTTCTGATCCACAAGGGTGTTGGAAAAAGCAGACATATGGAGTGACATATTGTCTTGTGCTGTCAAATTGATCCCAACTCATGGGGACCCCATGTATTACAGAGTAGAACTGTTCCATACGATTCTTTTGGCTGTAACCTTCCCAGAAGCAGATCCCCAGGCCTTTTCTTCTGCAGTGCCGCTGGGTGGATTTGAAACACCAACCTTTTGGTTAGTGGCTGAGTGAAAACTGATATACTCAGCACCACCATCATGAATCTATGTCTTCTGTCAGCCAAGCACCTTCTTATTGTTACAGCAGCTGGAGATGTAGTACTTAGGTAAGGAGCAGAGGAATGAGGTGAGAAAAAGGAAGTGCCCAACAGAGGTTTGGGTGATATCCTGTAAGAAGAGCAGGTACTACCAAGTTATCACAACCTCAGGTGGGATCAGGCAGAGCTGTAATCTGTGCCCATTCTGGTTGATTCCCTTCAGTAGACACCTGCAGAGCACTGGGGTATGGTGAATGTCTGCAAAAAGGGCATGGAGGCAGCATCTTCTGACCTCCTCCAACCTCACAAGGAGGAAACAGAATCATCATCAACAGCCCAAGGCTTATTCCTGTGAAGCCTCACATGCTGCCACCCTCCAGCCTTTTTTACCAACTCTGACGACAACCATCCCTCCCACAGCACTCACTACTTCTCTGCTGGGTTCAATACTTCATTGCAGTGGCCCCACAGAACTCAGACAATACTTATAATTATGGGGTTTATTAGAGAAGTAACAGGCTAAAATTCAGGTTCGGGAGTGAGGTCATGACAGTCTCCCCTCTGCTATCCCCTCTGGCTCACCTCTCTGGTCCTTGGCCTCTCGTCCTGGCCTCTGCCCTGCTTGGCCCAGTGTTACCAAGCTCTTTTAGCTCTGCTGATAGATACAGCTGCATGTACCCCACTCTGCCAGCAAGTCTTCTGGCCAGAGACACTCAGCTTTCTCATTCCATGGGCTGGCAAGGCTGCCACACTGTCTCATGCCTCTTGGTTCCACTACCACCATCTCTCTGCCACGCATCTCTGCCACGGACGTCCAGCACAAGGATTTTGGGTTCAAGGATATGCTCTTCTTCACCTCCAACACTTCTCTCTTGAAGCGGCGAGGTCCCCCTTTCTGCCTCTAGGAAGGCTCATTTTCAGCCTGGCAGAGTGACAAAAACTAACCAGTCCCAACATATACCTGTTTGCATAGTCCCACCCAGTAATCTGGTGGGAGTCACAAAGACCATGGCTAGAAAAGCCATATCAAGTATCTTAGGTGCAGGATACTGCACCACATTATCTTAGGAGAGATGCTAACTATTGGTGGAGGATCCTAGTGGGTTTGCCCTCTAAGGAACTTAGACAGGTTCAGGTATTCAACCTGTTGAGTAAAACACATGAGAATAGAAAGTGAAATGAAATTTCAGCTTTTTTATTTTATTGTGATTTAGGTGAAAGTTTACAGAGCATATTAGTTTTCCATTCAGTAATTTATACATATTTTGTTTTATAACAGTTCTGATTTCCTCAATATAAAATACCAGCTTTTTTTTTTTAAAAAAAAAGTGTCTTTTTAAAAAAGAGTACATACGTTTGGAGAATCAAGAAAAGAGTCATAAAATGCTGCTTGTTATTGAGGAATTATATTTGAGAGTTTAAACTGTTTTCAGAAACTTTACCACAGAAATATGAAAGAAAAAACTAGCAGGGCTGCCTATGAGTGTCATATTAATGTAAGGCAATGTGAAATGGCTTACAACCAAACTGTTAATGCAACCCAGGTTATGTTAGCTGAAGTCTAGAGGAGGGGAGTAGATCACAATCCTGTCCCTTCCTAGTTGGACCATTTCTGCAGTGCCTTGTTCAGACTTCTGATACATTTTGAAAGGACTTGGACAAATTAGAGTGTTTTCACAGGAGGACAGTGAGAAGAACAAGATGTCTAGAAATCTTTTTATGTGAGAAACAGTCAAAAGAAATTGGAAATGTTTAGTATGGAGAAGGGAAGACTTAAGCAAAATGTGAAATTTGAAGGGCTGACATGTAAAAGGAAGATTAGAACTTTTCTCTCTAACCTTAACTCCAAGCTAGGATCCAAACAGCACAGATAGGGATATATTGCAGTTTGGCATATGAAGACCTTTCTGAATACTTAGAGAATGTTTATAGTTCACAGATGTCTTTTAAGTGTATACGCCAAACACTGCTGTAGGCATTTTCATGTAAGTGGTCTTCATTGTCAGTTTCATAACAACCCAGTAATAAAGTTACTTTATCATCTCCATGTTAGGATGAGGAAATTGAGGCTCAGAAAAGTAATTAGATTTCATAACCTAGGAGAACAGGTATTAGACTCATGCACCAACTGTCTAAAAAAAGCACATGAGCTTCCAATTGTGGGATAAGTTTCCTGTCACAGGTAAGATTCAGAAAGCTGAAAGGTCAGGCATGGTTGACAAAGGATTCCTGTATTGATTTGGAAAGCTGGATTAGATTAATCCTTACTTCCAGACACTATGTGAGTAGGCAGCCTTTCCTTTCTAGGACACTGCCCATTCGTGGCCAGGATAGAAGAGTTAACCTACCTCTTTGAGGTAGTCATCAAAAGCAAACAGGTTTCTCAAGCATCAGAGCTGCTGTACTATTTTCCTTCCCCCAAGATTGGCATTACCGCGTAAGAGTTTTTTTCCTTTTTTTTTTTTTTTTAAACTTTTCTTACTGAGAATATATATAGAACATGCACCAATTCAACAATTTCTACATTTACAGTTCAGTGATGTGGATTATATTCTTTGAGTTGTACAACCATTGTCACCTTCTTTATCTGAGTTGTTCCTTCCACATGAAAAAAAACTCACTACCCCCTAAGTTTTCTATCTAATCTTTTGGATTGCTGTTGTCAGTTTGATCCCATATAAAAAAAAAAAAACCAAACCATTGCTGTAGATTCATTTGTATCTATAGCAACCCTATAGGACAGAGTAGGCCTGCCCCATAGAGTTTCAAAGGCTGTAATATTTACAGGAGTAGACTGCCACTTCTTTCTTGCACAGAGCAGCTTGTGGGTTCAAACTGCTGACCTTTCAGTTAGCAGTCAAGGGCTTGACCACTGTGCCACCAAGGCTCCTTTGATCATGTATAGATATATTTTAAAAGAGCACCGTGCTCAAGGCAGACTATCTTTACTAGATAAGCTAAAGTAATACTTGGTTTTAAGACTTGAGGGGATATTTTTGATTTAAGGTTTAGAAGTTAGAGCAATGGTTTCCAGGGTTCATCCAGCCTCTATAGCTCCATAAAGTCATTCCATAGGAATTTGAAATTCTGTTCTGCATTTTCCCCTTTTGATCAGGATTTTTCTATAGAATCTTTGATCATAATGTTCAGTAATGATAGTGGGATCCTATTTTTGGGTCTCATGGCAAAGATAGTAGTATTTTTAAAAGTATGATAGTACTTGGGTCAAATGCTTCTGGTTTTAAAAGTATAAAGAAAGTAAGTGGATACTTACATTCTGAGTCTCTCAGTTCTAAATTTTTATTGTGAAAGTTCTAAGAAAACAGATGTTTTGAGCTACCAAGACACAAAATTTTCTTCATCCAAACCATGTCGTGGAACAGGTCACTGCCCATAAGCTATAGTTTTGCATTGTTTTTAGAAACAGGAAAGTAAACAGCTAAAATGAATTCATTTCTCTGCAAGGTAAAATCAACTTTTTTTTTTTTTTTTTTTAAACAAAAAATGACATTGATTTGGTCACTAACATGTAAAATGGTACTGAGGGACTTATTTTGAATGGTAATATTTCCCTTCTTTCCAAATTAGGAATGGCTTTCTAAAGGACATGGAGAATACAGAGAAATCCCTAGTGAGAGAGACTTTTTTCAAGAAGTCAAGGAGAGTAAAAAAGTGGTTTGTCATTTCTACAGAGACTCAACATTCAGGTAATTTCATTCCATCTGTTTTGTTTTGTTTTACGTTTTTGTTTTTTTAACATGATACATTTAGCTAGAGATACTCTTACTTAATAGATTAAGAAAAATAAACTGCATGCTTCACTGTGCCAGAAATTAGTGCATTTGAGTTAAACAATTAATATTTTTAAAGATTAGCGTAAACTAGTGACATACAAAGATATAAATGAACATTATTGAAAATCAAGAATATTCCCCTGTAAATGGCTTATGTTTTCTGAATTTATACTTTCTTTGTTCTTGTTACTTGCTGTGGAATTGATTCCAACTCATGGTTAGCCCATGTTTGCAGGGCAGAACTGCTTCATACGGTTTTCAAGGCTGTGACCTTTAAGAAGCAGACAGATCTCCAGGCTTACCTTCCAAGGTGCCTTAACCACCAACCTTTTGACTGAGCACTTAACAGTTTGTACCACCTAGGGACTCCCATGATTTCACTAGCTAACTTAAAAAACATCTTAGAAATGTATAGTTAAAATTTTCATCAGTGCAAAATAGTTACTTCTTCTTTGTTTTTCCCTGCTATTACAGTGTCACCAACATGTTGGGAATGGGGCCCAACAACCTTTCAGAGTTGATGTTCATTATTCAGTCAGTCCTTCACAGCTAGCAACTCTGGGGAGACAATGGCTTGACCAAACCTTTTACCAGAAGAATAATTGGGACTGCCACATTTAGCTGGGAGGAGAATATGATTTCTCTTAAACCAACCCATGTCTGCAAACTTACCTAAAGTGGTAAATCCCTTGTAAAATGAAAATATCCCTGAAGGGATATTTTCTTAAGCCAGAAGACTCAAACCCACAAATTTCATCAGTTGATTAGTTACCAGCATTTCAAAACTTGGAGATACCCAGTTTTTAAAAAATCCAGATTTCTGAATTTTGAAAATTTGTTAATAGCAGACCTGGATTCAGTATGATGGAATTTGCTGGTGCTGAATAGCAGCTGCCACGCTTAGATGGACATACATTCCAGTGTACAGTCTCCTTCACTCACTATTGCCTCAGCCCTGCCCTCTTCTGTTATTTAAAGGTCTGTCAAGCCCTTGTCTTAGCCTCACATGGTTATTAACAACTTTCCGGGATTGATTGACTGGGATTCATTGACTAAGAAAGAAATGAAAGAAAATAGTAAAGTCTGCTATAGGAGTAGAGGAAAGGATTGAGAAATAGGAAGTTATCAAAGAAACCCCCTTCCCTTGTGGTATGTGAAATCATCTCACATTGACACAAATTTCTTAACGTGCCAACCTCTGACATACACGATGATACGATATGTTGATACTATATATTAACATATAAGATGCATATTATTTGTTCACTTGTTTATCAATCCCCACCAGATTTTTTATTTCATGAAGGAAGGAAGTTTGCCAGTATTATGAGCAACTGTGCCCTGGGTCCCTCACCCTAGAGCAATGCCTGGCACCTAGTAGCTGCTCAGTAAATATAGTTAATGGATAGATAAACTGCAGTACTAAGAGTACTTGCCTTCAAACAAAACTGAAAATTCAAATCATTCACTTACTGTATAGTATGTATATATGTTTATGTGTGCATGTATTTGTATATAGGTACATAGTAGACTGAGTAGTTTCATGTATATATTCTTTCTGAAACATTCATAACAACCCTTTGATGTAGGTATTACAATTCCTACATTTCACTTAGAGATATTAAACAACTCATTCAACATCAGTGAGCTTTTAAAAGATAAAAGTGGAATTTGAACCCCAGTTTTAAGCCTGAGGCTATTTTAAGTATATGATAACTGCTGCTTTTGAATTTTTTTTAATTCGTTGACAAATGATACTATCATAGACTTATTTAAAATAAATCCCTTACTCATTTAAAGTATAGAGTTGATTTTGGTAAAAAATTTCAGGAACATATTTCTCAACTAAAAGATCGTTTATCATTTTTATGAGCTTCATTCAACAACCATTTATTAATTTGTTCTCTGTCATCATTTTTCACATGCCTGAAATCTCATTACTGAACTACATGAGTGATATATGAAAAGATACATTCAGGGGAAACTAATGAGGCTTCAAGGTTATAAGAAACTTTTGCTAAACCCAGACTAATTCAGGAAAAACACCACCAAATAATACACAAAAAAAGCTTTCTGGTAAAAATGACCATGAAGTATTTGGTTTCAGTCATCTAAAGCAATAGTTCTCAAACTTTATTGGGCATAAGAATAATCTCCATGTTTCATGACTCCCAAAGGCTTTTAATTTATTTGTACATTTTAAAAGTTAATTGTAATGGACAACTAGGGTTAAGAGCCACTGGTCTAAAAGGTTATTAAAACAATCTGTTTCCAAAAAGTTAGAGGATTAACCAGTTTGAAGCAAGTAGATTTTAATATAAAGAAAAATGTCACTTCTGTTTTCCTCTTTATTAGAAAGGTGACTTAATAAAAACTATTGATATTTTTCATTTATTTAGAACCATAATAGGCAAATTTACTTAAAGATTATTAGTAGCCTTTAACATACATTTCACTGATAGGTATGTAGTTAAAAGTAAAAAGTTCCTTCTCGGTGGCACCATTCAGTCTTTGCTAATGGACCTCCAAATACAGCATCCAGTGTACATTTCTTAATTCTTAAAACTTTCTTCTGGGTTCTGTCCAGTTTAGATTTACCTTTTTCAAGCTCCATGTATGAGATACCAGGAAACATGAATATGGAAATGACAATTTTTTTCTTTCCACCAACATGACAACTTCATGAACCTCTTTAGGACTAAGGGATACATTTAATATTTTGTTCTTTATGAATATCAGGAGGGCAGCTATGACTTTCTAGACTGCCAGATTGTTTTTCTACCTCAGAACTGAGTAGCTAACCTATTCACCAGTGGCTCCACAAGACCTGGCAGTTCCTATGAAAAGTACAGCCTAGGAAACCCTACAGAGCAGTTCTGCTCTGTCAAATAGGATTGCTATGAGTCAAAATTGACTCGACAGCATACAACAATCCAGTGATACGGAAATGAAGTCATCTGACAAGGATAGGTTGGCTACCTAATTATAAAACTCAAACAAAAACTATAAAATTAGATGTACCCTAATGGTTAAGCACTGCAGTGCTAACAACAAAGTGATTCATAGTCATCCAGAGGTGCCTCAGAAGTAAAGCCTGGCAGTCTACTTCTGAAAGGTCACAACCTTGAAAACCATGTAGAGTGTAATTATAATCTGCACACTCAGGGTCACCATGAGTCAGAATCAACTCAGTGGCAGCTAACAGTGATACTTGTTTGGGGGGAAAAAAAAAAAAACTGTTGTTTGCACTTTTGAATTTTTATTTTATTGTTACTTACAGATGTAAAATAATAGACAGACATTTGGCAATACTGTCCAAGAAACATCTCGAGACCAAATTTTTGAAGCTGAATGTGGAAAAAGCACCTTTCCTTTGTGAGAGATTGCGTATCAAAGTCATTCCCACATTAGCATTGGTAAAAGATGGGAAAACACAAGATTATGTTGTTGGATTTACTGATCTCGGAAATACAGATGACTTCACCACAGAAACTTTAGAATGGAGGCTCGGTTGTTCTGATATTATTAATTACAGGTAACTTTTAGAAGAAGAATGGATTTATTTTAATTTACTGTGTGATTCATTATTTTAGATTAATTCATATTTTCCATTGATATTTTTGTATCTTGACACTTTTTATGAAATTAAGATTTTTTGGCTAAGATGTAGAAAAATTTTCACAAGGAAAAGCGTATCTTTTTTTTTTTTTTTTTTTAATTGTGATTTCAGTGAAGATTTACAGAGCAAATTCACTTTCCATACAGCAGTTCACATACACTTTGTCTCATGACATTGACCACAGTT